CTGCACTTTATTAAGTCACGAAACCCCGCCTCCCGGCCGCCTGTCTGGTTGAATCAAGGATATACTATCTGCTCTCATTTATCCATGCTCTCAGCAGCATAAATTCTTCAACCTGCTCGTTAACACTGTTCCAACTTCTGAAGGACTCCAATCAGTAGTTTTTCTGTTTTGACATTCGAATGCATTTTTATAGCCAAACACGAATTATATGAATAAAATGGGAGCGAAAACGGAAGTAGTTTTTAGGAATATTTTCTTGTAATCCTCCATGTCCGACAGAATTCGTTTTAAAAACAAGGAGACGACCTGTGCCGGACTCTAAAGTCATTTTGGGATCTAATTGTATTATACTTTCCGAGTTAAGAAAAAAGACAAGAATCCAAACAAAACTTTCTTTAGACAATTCAACACTCGTATATATGAATTTATTTATTATTATTGTATCACAGAAACAATGAGCATTAACAAGTCAGACTTTTTTATTGAGATGCATCTTCGCTATGGTTAGCAACTGCTAATGCTGTCACCAATGTGGCAACAGAGCAGTTTTTCTTATGTGGCTTTACAGCCAGGAAGAAGTTCCAGTTATGATTATCATCGGCAATGTATTTCAACTTGGCATTCCATCCATTTACCAGCGAATCGTATTCTTTTTGGGAAAATCTCTGAAATCAGTTAAAAATTCAGAAGATTGCGGTAGAGAGAAATGGTCTTATCTCACAAAAAGGAACTCGTCTTTATTTTTCTCCACTCGTTCTCTCTCCTCTCCCAAAATTTCCTTAAAGCGCTCAGTCATGTTTTCAACGACGATATCTGTGAAGCCGACCTTTTCAGCAACCTGAATTTCATTTCGGTTAAGCTGAACCATAAAGAAGTTTTTCATAGAAAAACTTACTTCTTTAATCTGCTCTCTGTTCCTCAAATAGTACTGCCTTTGTTCAACGTACTTTTTGAAATCTTCACTAAGTTCGCCATGACCAACTCCATACATCGTGATTAGTACTTTACCTCCAGGCT